CCTCCAGTCCGGGACGCGCCTCCCCACTACAGCCTCCAGTCCGGGACTCGCCTCCCCACTACAGCCTCCAGTCCGGGACTCGCCTCCGTGGCCTCTGGTCTAGGACTCACTTCCCGTGCCGGCCTCCAGTCTGGGACTAGCCTCCCACATGGCATCTGGTCTGCTGGTTGGAGTCATACTTGGCACATAGGAATACAGTTGTGGTTGTGGGAGGTCAGTCCAGGACATCTCTGCAGGAGTTCCTCAGGGTAGTGTCCTTGCCCAAACCATCTTCAGCTGCTTCATCACCTTTCCTCCATTATAAGATCAGGGTGGAGATGTTCTCCAATGACTGCTCAAATATTGAAGCAGTCCATGTTCAAATGCAACAAGATCTGGACAATATCAGGCTTGGGCTGACAAGCGGCAAGTAACATTCCTACCAGACAAATCCCAGGCAATGACCATCACCAATAAGAGACAATCTAACCAGCATCCCTTGACATTCAATGGTGTTACCATCACTGAATCCCCATCTATCAACATCCTGGAGGTTACCATTAACCTGAACTCAGATGGACTCCTCACCTAAATAGTATGATGGAATACTCCACACTTGCTTAGATGGTGCAGATCCTCCAACAACACTTAAGAAACAGACACCATCTAGGTCAAAGCAGCCCACTTGGTTGGCACAACATTCACAAGCATAATCTCCCTTTACCGCCAATGCTTAGCAGGAGTGTGTACTTCCCACAAGATGCACTGCAGAAATTCACCAAAGATCCTTAGACAGCAGCTTCCAAACCCACAACCACATCCATCTAGAAGGGAAAGGGCAGCAGATACATGGGAACACCACCTGCAAAATCCCCTCCAAGCCACTCACCATACTGTCTTGGAAATATATCACTGTTCCTTCACCGTCGCTGAATCAAAATCTTGGAATTTCCTTTCCAAAGGGCATGGTGAGTCAACCTATAGAACATGCACTGCAGCAGTTTAAAAAGGCAGCTCACTGCCAACTTAAGGATATCTAGGGATGAGCAATAAGTGCTGCCCACATCCCATGAGTGAATAAAAAAAAGTCGAGGGAAAGATTAAGAGATGGGAGTGGACAAGTAGATTAAGAGTTGGGAGTGGAGGGACTGAGAAATGGGAGTGAAAGGGCTGATTAAAAAATGGGAATGGAGGGGAAGATTAAGAGATTAAAGTGAAGGGGCGGATTAATAGTTACCGCCTAGAGAAGATTCTGTTTAATATTTTCACATTAGAAGTGGATTTAAATTTAATATGTCAGCCACACGTCCTTGGTTTCAGGAGCAATGGAGAGGTCAGGAACTGCTGGGGGGATTAAATCGATAAGTGTTTTCTCCAGCACTCTTCAAGGGCCAGGAAGGGCCGTAGTACTTGTCCCAGTTCTTCAGGCAAACCTTCAGTCTCCCAGCTACTTATTGCAGCCTTTAACTGTAACTACCGATTGGTCAGCTCTCTCCACAATCATCCATGGTGACATTCTCCCCTGCCAGTAACTGGAAAGTGACTTTCCACAGTCCTCTTCCCAGACCCAGGATCTCTTTATGAGTGCAGTACACAGGACATCCCTGACTGCAGCTCCATGCTGTTGGTTTTCTTGCCTGGCAGCTGGCCAGCCTGCTACTTTAGCCAGTTGCTGGTTGGGAAATAGAAAGAAAAAGTTCTAGAAAGGACATGAATTTAGTCGGGTGCCCACATCCCTGGTATCACCTAGTGTACCTGACACTCCTTGGAATGATTAGGGCCGCCAAGGTACACCTAGTTTCTAGTTTCTTTCCAAGCCACTCACCATCCTGATTTGGAAATGTATTGCCGTTCCTTAATTGTCGCAGAGTCAAAATCCAGGAACTCCATGACCAAGGGCATTGTGGATCAACCTACAGTACGTGGGCTGCAGTGGTTCAAGAAGGCAGCTCACCCAGCACCTTCTCAAGGGGCGGGTAGGGACAGGCCAATGCTGGCCAGTCAACGACGCCCACATCCCATGAATGAAGAAAAAATGTCTCCTTTTCTGAACGCTCAGTATGAGCGAGATGTGGTAATGGATGATTACACTGGGGAATAAAATCAGACTCTTCGCTCAGGGTTAGCCACATTTGGCATTGCCAATCTGCTCAGAGAACTAAGTAAAACCCTTACTCAGAGACTGACAACAAGGCAGCACTCTCTGCCATGAAAAGTAGTTAAGGTGCATAAGATGAATCCATTTGGGGTTTGGCGGGAGAGAAAAATGGTGATAGGACAAGGTGAAGCCTGTGTGCAGCAGAAACACCAGGACAGTGGATTAAACTTGTATCCTATCCCTGCTTCTCCTGTTGTGTTACATTTTAACATCAGCCTCCCTCTTGATTTTGTTGCTGGTTCTCTGGCTTTGGCTCCTGCGGCATTCCAAGAATATGAATAAATCAGAATTTGTATTCCCCATCTAAAGTCAGGATGGGATTTGAACGTTCATTTTTTTTCCAGATTATGGCGAGGGAATACTTTGGATTGAAAGTTAGATTCCCTTTGGGTTTTGCTGAAATTTAATGGTGGCTGCAAGGCCCTCTCAATCCTTTACCTGCACCAGGTTCAGGTTCTTCATCTTCATCCAGAACCACCAGCCTGAAAACAAATGAAACCACGTCAGATGGAGAAACCTGGTGACCATCCCATTACTTTATATCAAAGTTCACTTTCCTCCAAAGCATGCACCGACTAAACTCAGGAGCGACAGGTCACCACTGAGCCAAGGTTTGATGTGATTGAGTCAGATTTTTAAAAAGAATTAGGGCTGGGGGGTGGGGGGGGGGGGGGGGGGGGGGTGCAAACGAACTGTGCTCCAGATATGGTGAAGTTTGAACTTAAATGGAATAAAAATGGGGCCATTCCAGAAGGAACAATTAAGGTAGGAAAGAACAAGGGCTCCAAATTTCTTTTTCTTCCACACTCTTCCTCCTCTGTACTTGCACACTAAACGGGAATTAAGATTCAACTAATCTCCTACTCTCATACATTTATTTCCAAAACCTCAATATGTGGAACCCTTCACCTCACTCAAGTCTCTCTACACTCCTAGAATCCGTGCTTTTAATACTGAGCCTTGGTGTGCCCACCATGGCTCCCATGTGCCTCAATTTCACTTTTTGATACTGATGATGTCCTCTAACTCACTCGTTGGGTGCATCAATAACGTGATTTATTAAACACTGCATATTTATAATGAAACTTCATCATCTATGAGGCCTTCCAGTAAACACAAAAACTAACAAGCTACTTTACCAATCAAACTAAATGTAAGTCTCCACATTTTTCCACAGTAAAAATGAAGAGCCTTGTTCTGTATCCAGCCCTACAATGGGAGAATAACAAAAATGGTTCTGAGGTCATGCACAGGAGAATAGTTATGATCCTGCTTTTAATAAAACAATTCCTCGCTGTGTGACCTGTGTTAGCCTTTGATGGATGATTCTCAACATTACTATCAGCATGATAACTGTCTCAACAAACTGCTGCTGTTTCCTCACACCTGTTGTGTTTCTTCCTAATTGCTGGGCAGCTCTGATTATGAACTCATGATTAAATAAGAGGAAAGGCTGGAAATTAGGAGGAACTTTAATCAGTCTTTCCCTCCACCCAAAAAAGGCTTCCTTTTTATTTCCTGAATTCCTCAGTACATCTTATTGCAACTCTAGAATGTAGTTTATTACACAAAGATGTTCCATGCTGGAAAAGAGTTTGGTCTACAGTGAAGACAGAAGAGGTCATACGATTAGTGTATCAATATTCACTATTGGAGAGCAAAATCTATTTGTTCTTGCATTTTTAAAAATCTGAAATAATGTACTAATTCTTTCTATTTATCTATTGCTCTCTTTCTCTCTGGTTGCTGATCTTCCTGCTCAGCACATGTCCTGCTCCCTGACCTTCCCACTCCTCACATCTCCCACTCACTGTTTCCCTGTCCCCCACCAAACTTATGATCTCCCAACCACTCAAAACAATTTAATTCTCTCATCCTAAAGACAAAGGCCCATGGAAGTCTTGAGTTAGGTCACTGGTCAGCCATGGTCTCATTGGCTTAGGGAGCTGAATCACCTTGACCATCAGACAGAGGCAAGAATGACCAGGGCAGCTATCAGCAATGAAACCAGGTCTATCCTACTCATTACGGCTGGTCAGGAACGTGTGCCGTAGCGGATAACACATGGAAACTCTTTTTGTAATTTATCCCAGTGTTAACAGATGTGTGGTAATTCTTCTACATGCTGATCAATTCGGGGTGAGTCATCCTCAGCTCTGGGGTCAATTTCAGCTGATAGCCAGCACAGAATGAAGGCAGGCTACAAATTTTCAAGCAGCATTGAGATTAGAATAAAGTAATGACCAAGTTCATCCTAGTATATACTGTACACATGCCTTATAGTCAAAAACATTTTATAACAGCATCTGCTCTGTGCCCCAGATTGATTTCTTAATCTGCCTGGAACTTGCTTCAAGAAAGGCATAAAGTAAGTGTGCAACCAGTGAACAATGCAGCTGCTGACTAGTGAGGTACAGCTATTTCTATCTGGCCCCTCCTGTTTGTGATTACAGGAATCTTTACTTACTTGTCTATGTCATTAGTTACACATTCCTTCTCTTTCTCCTGACTCTGGTTGAGCTCCTCCTCAGTTAGATGATGAAATGGGTCTTGCAAGCTCTGTGAGTTTGAAAAGAAACAACCAAAACATTGAAATGAGACCCTGTAAATTGCACTAACTGATTATTCTTGAGTCTAATATAACAAAGGAGAATAGATGATACATGCTTATTTAGTTCTGGAATATGAAGTGGCTACGTCTTCACTGAACAGGTGCAGTAATGATTCGCAAAAACAACCCTGGACCCAGATTTTTAAACAATTCATTCGCTTACCGCTTGTAGGTATCATGGGATAGGCCAACATTTAGTATGTGGAGACTCATACTTATGACAATTGAGAGTATCACTGTCTCATCTTCCCTCTTGGGTAGATGGAAAAGATCCCAAGGATGAGAAACAGCGAATTCTTCCAAGCCTCCTGGCCAATACTCAGCCATCAATCAAAATAGATTCATTGGTCATTTATCTTGCTCTATTTGCAGTGTACAGATTGGTTGCTGCCTTTCGTGATAATTGCGATGTTGTCAGAACATGGTAGGAACTATGTAAAAATGTAACTTCTTTCCTTTCAACAGCTCATATACTTGATATACCATTGTCATACAATCATACTGTATGGAAAGAGACCCTTCGGTCCATGCTGACCATAGCCCCAAACTAAACTGCGTTTGGCCCATATCCCTACAAACATTTCTTATTCATGTACTTATATAAATGTCTTTTGAACATTGAAACTGTAGCCTCATCCGCCACTTCCTCTGGAAGTTCATTCCACACACAAACCACTCTCTGTGTAAAGAAAATGCCTTTCAGGTCCTTTTTAAATCTTTCTTTTCTCATCTTAAAAATACACCCCCTTGTCTTGAAATCCCCCACCATATCTACTCACCTGATCTATACCCCTCATTATTTTATAGGCCTCTATAATGGTAACTTCCCAACTCTTACGCTCCAGTGAAAAAAGTCCCAGCCTATCCAGCCTCTCCCTATAACTCAAACCCTCCATTCCCAGAAACATCCTGGTAAACTTCTTCTGAACCCTGTCCAGCTTAATAATGTCCTTCCTATAACAGGGCAAGGAGAACTAGATACAGTATGCCAGAAGAGGCCTCATCGATGTCCTGTACAACCTTAACATAACATCCCAACTCCATATTCAATGTATACCAATCACAAATAATTAGATAATTCTTGACTTACAGCATTGACAGTGGGGCTGCAGTGTAACTTGAATTCAACAATACTAACAGAGGGACTGCAGTGGAAGGGGAATTCAACAGCACTAACAATGGAACAAAAACAGAAGTTGCTGGAAAAGCTCAGCAGGTTTGGCAACATCTGTGAACAAAAAAATCAAGAGTTAACGTGTCGGGTCCGGTGACCCTTCCTCAGAACTGATGGTACCTGGGAAAACGTCAGTTTATATGCAGAAAGTAGGGAGAGGGTGGGGTAGGGAGTAAACGATAGGATAGAGCCTAAAGAGAAGAAAGAACAGTTGGACAGACAAAGGAGTTAATAACGATCTGGCTAGGAGGGTGAATAGTTGTTAATGGGGACAGTTAGTGACTAACAATAGGTAGTGTGTAATGGCTTGCTATGTGATAACAAGGCCTGGTGTGTGGGTTAGGGGGCTAAGTCAATGGAGAGTTTAGGCCCTAAAATTATTGAACTTGATATTGAGTCCGGAGGGCTGCAGGGTCCCCAAGTGGAAAATGAGGTGTTGTTCTTCCAGCTTGCGTTGAGCTTCACTGGAACACTGCAGCAAGCCAGAGACAGAGATGTTGGCCAGGGAACAGGGTGGTGTGTTGAAGTGTCAGGTAACAGGTAGCTCAGGGTCTTTTTTGCGAGCAGAACGTAGATGTTCTGCGAAGCAGTCACCCAGTCTACACTGTGCACTGACAATGGGGTTGCAGTGTCGAGTGAATTCTCCATTAGTCTCTTGATCACTTGCTAATGAAGCAGTTCTGACCACTCTGATATCAGTGGAAAATTACATGGATCAATCCAGAGTTAGAAGAATCACAATCCAGACTTCCACCTTCACTGGCTCCGTCCTGCCTCCTTGACCTGTCCGTCTTCCCTCAACTGACCAACCCCCATCCCAACTCTCTACCTACACACCTTCAGTGGCTCCATCCCCACCTCCTTGACCTGTCCGTCTTCTCTCCACCTATCTGCTCCTTTATCCACCTTCCATCATCGCCTCCCCCGTCTCTCTGTTTATTCCAAAGTCCCCTTCCCCTCCCCCATTTCTGAAGAAGGGTCCAAAGCCGAAACGTCAGCTTTCCTGCTCCTCTGATGCAGGCTGGCCTGCTGTGTTCATCCAGCTCTACACCGTGTTATCTCAGATTCTCCAGCATCGGCAGTTCCTACTGTCTCCGAGTGTAGGTTTCTTTCTCCATTTGAATCACTGTCCATGTGGCCTTTGCCTCGCTTCCTCCTTTTTAAAGTGCTGTTGTTTTGATTTTTTTTCTCTAAGTTCCAAAACAATGCAACAGCTTATAAAACAGTAATTACTGCTCCTAGGATTCCAGGAAATCAGCTCCAACACTGAAAATACCCCAAAAAAGGAGCAGCTCTTACAGCCACAATTTTTCCCCATCTTCCATCTATAGGTTATACTTACATAGGTTAGACCTCAGCTGGAGTACTGTGCACTGTTCTGTTCTAAGGACCACACTTTGGAAGGATGCAAATGCTTTGGAGAGACTGCAAAGAAGTTTATGAAAACTTTTTTTATGAGGAAAGATTGGAGAAGCTGGGATTGTTTTCTTTGGAGAGCAGAAGGTGGAAAGGATAATTGATAGAAGTTTTCAAAATCATGAGGGGTGTGGACAAATTATTAAGAAGAAATTGTTCCCACTCACAAGAGGAGCGAGAACTACAAGGCGCTGTCTTAAAGTATTTTACAAAAGAAGCAAAAGCAAGGTAAGAAATTGCTTTCTACTCAGTGAGCAGTTAGGAAATGGAATGCACTGCCTGCAAGTATGATGAAGGCTGGTTCAATTGAGACATTCATGACGGCATTGGATGATTATTTGAATAGAAACAATGTGCAGATTTACAAGGAAAACACAGGAGATTGACACTAAGTTAAACTGCTCAGAGAGCCAGTTCAGACACGATGGGTCAAGTTGCCTCTTTCTATACCACAATAATCCCGTTTGTTCTAAGATTAAGGATGCAAGCTATACTCAGAGGACCCTATATTTAATGTACTCTAAAGAACGAAGTCAAGAAAACCAATGGTACCCACAATCAGGCAATACACAACATTTGTACTACTTGCTCATTTTAACACCAAAGGTGTGAGACGAAGAGAATTCTTTTTCACAGAGAAGACCATGGATCTTTGGAACTTTTCTTCAAAACATGGTGGAAGTAAAGTCTTTGAATATTTTTAAGGCAGAGGTAGACACATTTTTGATAAGCGAGGGTAGATGGAAATGTGAAGCAAGCAAATCTTACTTCAGGGCAGGCTCGAGGGGTGATCTAATTAGTCCCACTCCCCAACAGTTTCCAATCGACTCAAGATGTTTTCTGTTCAAGTATTTATCCAGTTCCTTTGTGCAAGTTATTGTTGAGTATGTTTCCACTACCCTTTCAGGCAGTGCATGTCAGATCATAACTTCTTGTATAAATAAACTCATCTCGCCTTCAATGAAGCACTGAGAATATATCAAGGCCTTCTGATGCTGCCTTGGAGGCCTTGTGAAAGGATTGGGCAGGAGGATAGGCATGTGCATGGAGCAGAAAGACCACTAGCTAACTGTCAGCATTATCGTCACCTCGATTCTACAGCAGTGGACTAACATTTTGTTGTTTGGATGAGTCAGACAGAAAACCTGTGGGAGCATTTGTCAGGAGATGAAACAGATGAATTTTATTTGGAATAAACAGACTCGATGGACTGAAAGGCCACTTCTTACTTCATGCTTTTTTTTGGTCTTACCTTCAAAGTGGTAAACTTGTATGGCTGATGACCCTTGAAACTCTCGTGAATCTGTACCATCGCATGAGCAGTCCTCTCCCAGAAGTGCAGTAGTGTATTCTAGTGGAAGAAAAGCAAACACATCACTTCTAGGTATACAGAAGAAAACAGGGAAGGACAGCAAGGGCAATTAAGACAGAGAGGTGACTTAATGACAGTGCATGGAGTGGCAGGGCACAGTAGCAAGCCTGACTGGCAACTTCCTAATCTGAGACATGCCATCAGGAACACACTGGAAGAGATGTTTTCGAATGGACAATAATAGACAGGGCAGATGAAGGTGGGGTGGGGGGAGAAAATGAGAGAAATACCTCGGTCCATTCTCATGTACTTACGAGCAGAATTATCAATAGTTGCGTTGACAAGCAGACTGATTTCTCACCTACTCAAGCAGGAATGGCGCATCACCCAAGGAAGGAGGGAGGAGGAGAAAATACTTTTAACTTTTGGAACAAAAATTAACAAATAGCAAAACATATTTGAACAATTGTTGTGACAGAGCTGTCTCATTAAGTTGTGACTCAAAATTTTCAGATAGAAATATGCTTATGGAGTGGAATAAAGGAAAAGGCTTACTTTATACTTAATGTATTACACCATATGCAAGAGGAGACAGAAAAGGGGGTATGATAATAGTAACGACGCTACTGGATTATTAATCCAGAGAAGATGAGTTCCAGTCCCATCTTTCTGGATGTTTTATACTTGAATTCAGTTTTTAAAAAGACAAACCCTGAAAACAAAAGTTTCAATAAAGCCCTTTTGGAAAGGAAAGGAAAGTGGAAAGGAGACCTGCTATCTGTATCCAAGTTGGCCAATGCAGAATCATAGAAAGTCAAAGCACAGAAGGAGACCATTCAGCTATTATTTCTGAGCTGGCTCGTGATCCTGCTTATTCCACACTCCTGCTTTCTCTCTGTAACACTGTAAGCTCTTCATCACCTCTGACCATTTGCCTTGTAAAATTATTGATGGAATCAGCTTTCACCAGTATTGTAGGTAGAGTGTTCCATTAACTCTGAGCAAAAAGGAATAAAGTCTCCTACCTCCCCTCTAGATCACTTACCAATGATTATTGAGACACTTGCTGAAGGCGATAATTTTTCTCTACTCACCTCATCAAAACCATCTACCACATTGAACCTCTATTAGGTTACATCTTAACCTCAGCATTGTCTTCGATTTGCCAGCTTAGGTCCAACCAAAGATTTATACAGTTTAGCATGGTCTTTTTGATTTTATATTCTGTGCCTCTACTTCCAAACCCACATTTGTAACCATATCAACTTGCCAAATAAAAGGACCAAAGTCTCTCTACTGTTTTCCAAAATATGTCACATCCCACTTCTCTAAATGAATTGTATCTGCCACACTCCTGCCCACTTCATTATCCTGGAGTCCTCAACTATCCTTGTTATCTATTACATCGCTGAGTTGCATGTCATCTGCAAGCTTTCCAAATACCGTTTCTTTCAGCTGAGTGAAGATCATTTATAAAATTTCTTCTTGTTATAAAAAGAGGAACTCATCCATGGGGAAAACTACTCTCCAGTCTGAACAGCATCCATCACTACCCAGTGTCTCCAGTCACTGGAGTCATCCAAGCCAAATATGTGACTTGTTATGGGCTTCCTTCTTCTTAAAAAGCCTTTTAGGTGATATTTTGCTGAATGCCTTCCAAAAGTCTGTATGTACATGTCTACTACTGCTCTACCTTGATCAAACTTCTCTGGTATGTCATCTTATGATTCAATCAAGTTGGTCAGACATGATTTAACTTTAACAAATCCCTTGAGGCCCCTTCTTAAATCCAGGTGTTTGCAATGGAAATGTTATTTTTCCCCTGCTATGAATAGTAGGTTAGCTGGCCTCTAGTTCTGTGGCTTATCCTTCTCCCATTTGTTGAACAGTGATGGAGCATTTGCAAACCTCTAGTCCACCAGCACCACTCTTGTATCCAATCAGGATTGAAAGACTGTGACCAGTGCCTCTGCAATTTTTATCTTTGTTCCTTTCAGCAAATTAGGATGCATTCCATCTGGGCCAGGTAGTTTAACACCATTTGGTCATGCTAATCCTTTATATACATCCTCTCTATTATTGTTCTGTCCATAGCTTTTCCCTTTTCTTTGTGTTACCTTCACATCATTCACTTCTTTTATGAAGGGGAAGCTGCTTATTTAATAAGTCAGCCATATCCTCTACTTATATATAAAGAACTGCCCTTTGGATCCTTAATAGATGCAACATTTTCCATTGGTAATCTGCCGCACTTTATGCATATAGAATGTTTTAGGTAAATATTCTAAGATATGGCCCGGCAAGTTGTTCTTCTCAATTGTTTTTTTTGGGGGGTGGGGATGGGGTAATAAATGTCAACTTTGTTTGTGACATAAACATTCAAAGAATAATAAAATGACTGGGCAGCCAGTCAGCTCAAAGTTTTGGGGGTCGACTGAACTGTTTTAGGGATTATGATACTTCTCCTTCAAAACAGAAACCTCCTCAGCACGTAAGTGTAATTCTTATTAGGTAAGTTCCAACTGTGCACCATGCCAAATGATACAAGTTATTTAAGGAGAGTGATGCTGTTCTCAAAATTGACAAACAGACAAGAGATGGAAGGGGAAAATCACTGTCTCCTTGTAGAGCGCGCCAAACTCCAAGGTTTGCAAGTGTCATTATTGCTGTTATCTAATGGCACCACGTTCTGTGATGTTTTTGGTTCCAAGGCATTAGTACCTGGTAAGCAACAAGTGACTGGGAAAGAAGATTACAACGGCTCGCTCCAAGTAAGTCCACTTTCTGACACACATCATTCTTTAGCTTGTCAAACTGAACTTTGGCATTCCGCACCTGTGCCTGGACCTGCATCAAAACACAAAACAGAAACAATGCTCAGCCATTGTCTGTGCATTTAAAAGAAGCAAAATAGACTCAATTTTTCTTCTTAAAACACAATTGATCTTTTCACAAGGTCAAGACCTGCAGTTGTGTTTAGCCTGTGTTAATTATTCCTTCCTTCTCTCAAAGGATGGGCTGGTGAAGATGGTTCTACAGAAATCCACAGCTTCATCAGAGCAGCCATTTGTCAGGTGCAAATCCACTCAGAGACAGACTGAATCACTGCTTAGTCCAATCCTGTGCTCACCTGATATTCACACACATACATCTGATCTTCCCAGCAAGGGTCACAGACAGCCACTGGGGACAGTATTTCCACCTCCCTGACTCTATCATCGGTATGGAGGAAATGGGTTTCATTTCGTGGGAATAAACACAAAGAACTGCGAAACCTGGAAATCTGAAATGAAAGCAGAAGTACTGGAGAAACTCAGCAGGTCTAGCAGCATCCGTTGAGAGAAAAAAAGTTAGCATTTCAAATTCAGTAACTGAGGAAGGGTCACTTGCCTCGAAATATTAACTCTGCTTTTCTCTCAACACATGCTGCCAGACCTGCTGTGTTTCTCCAGTGTACTGTTTTTGTTTCACTTCATGGGAACAGGTACCAGTACCACAGAAAGAGAAAGCTATTCCTCAAGGCCAGTCAGTGCGTAAATGCAGTGGAACAGGTTCTGGTGAATTTGATAATTAGCGATGTAGTAAAGCCTTTAAAGAGAATAGCTGGCTGGGAAGGTACAAGTTAGAAGAAATTTTGGTAGTTAAAAAGAAGGGACAAGCCAAAAGTATAGAGTAATGATACGGGCAATGAGAACCACAATACGACAAGATGAGATTGAGTAGACAGATGTTTGATTCAAAATAGATCTTACAATCACCGCCCAACATTACCCTATCTGTACCATTGCCTTCAACCCAGGGATCAGCTCTGGTTGAGTGGAGAATGCAGGAGGGCATGCCAGAAATAGTACCTAAAAATTAGGTGACAACCCGGTGGGGCTACAAAACAGGACTACTGTATGTCAAAGAACTGAAGCAATATGCAATAAAAATGGTCCTGTAACTAACAGGTCAGATCACAGAACGAAGAACAGAACAAAGCACAATACAGCACAGCAACAGGCCCTTTGGTACACTAAGACTACACCAATACATGAAGCCTTTCTAAACTAAAAAAACTTTTGCTCCTACTCGGTCCTTATCCCTCTGTTGCCTACCTATTCATATATCTGTCAAGATGCCTCTTAAATGCTGCTATTATATCCACCTCCACCACCACTTCTGGCAGCACATTCTAGGCACTTATCACCCTCTGTCTGTGTAATATACTTGCCTCTCACATCTCCTTTAAACTTACACCTTTTTACGTTAACCCTAGTAATTGACATTTCTACCCTAGGGGAAAAAGCTCCAACAATCAAAGCTCTGCAGCCCTGCCACAACTGGTCGTGAATGGGGATGGACAATTAGACAACTCACTGGAGGAAAAGGCTCCACAAATATCCCCATCCAAAATAAAGAGGGAACTCCGTGAGAAAGATAAAGCTGAAGTATTGGCAACCATCTTCAACTGCTTTATCAATGACCTTTCCTCCAACAGAACATCAGATATGGAGATGTTCAATGATGATTGCACAATGTTTACTAGCATACATTACTCCTCAAATATTACATATGGGCATAACACGTTTTATCAAGAGCACGACATTTAGGTTTGGACTAAAATGGAACATAATATTTGCACCATCCAAGTGTCAGGCAAAGACTACCATTAGACCATTAGACATAGGAGCAGAAATTAGGCCATTAAGCCCATCGAGTCTGCTCCGCCATTCAATCATGGCTGATAAGTTTTTCAACCCCATTCTCCCACTTTCTTCCTGTAACCCTTGATCCCCTTGACAATCAAGAACCTTTCTATCTCTGTCTTAAATATACTCAAATGACCTGGCCTCCATAGCCTTCCGAAGCAGTGAGTTCCATAGACTTACTGTTATCTGGCTGAAGAAGGTTCTCCTTATCTCGGTTCTAAAAGGTCTTCCCTTTACTTGAAGGCTGTGCCCTCAGGTCCTAGTGTTTCCCACCAATGGAAGCGTCTTCCCAACATCCACTCTGTCTAGGCCATTCAGTATCCTGTAAGTTTCAATTAGTTACCCCCTCATTCTTCTAAACTCCATTGAGTATAGATGGAATCCTCAAATGTTCCTGATATGTTAAGCTTTTCATTCCTGGGACCATTCTGAACCCACGCCAGGGCCAGTACATCCTTCCTGGGATATGGGGCCCAAAACTGCACACAATATTCCAAATGTGGCCTGACCAGAGCCTTATAGAGCCTCAGATGTACATCCCTGCTTTTATATTCAAGTCCTCTCAAAATAAATGCCAACATTGCATTTGCCTTCCTAACTACTGACTCAACCTGCAAGTTTACCTTGAGAGAATCCTGGACTAGAACTCCCAAGTCTCTTTACACTTCAGACTTCTGAATTTTTTCCCCATTTAGAAAATAGTCCATGCCTCTATTCTTCTTACCAAAGTGCATGACCTCACACTTTCCCACATTGTACTCCATCTGCCACATTTTTGCCCGTTTCTTCAGTTTCCCCGCCTCCTCAATACTACCCGTCCCTCTAGCTATATTTGTATAGTCTGCAAACTTAGCCAGAATGCCCTCAGTTCCTTCATCTAGATCATTAATGTATAAAGTGAAAAGTTGTGGTCCCAGCACTGACCCTTGCAGAACACCACTCGTCACTGCCTGCCATCCCGAGAAAGACCCTTTTATGCCCACTCTCTGCCTTCTGCCAGATTGCCAATCTTCTAACTACGCTACTACCTTGCCTCTATTACCATGGGCCCTTGTCTTACTCAGCAGCCTCCTGTGAGACACCTTGTCAAAGGCCTTCTTGAAGTCTAGGCAGATAACATCCATTGGCTCTCCTTGGTCTAACCTGCTCGTTACTTCCTCAATGAATTCTAACAGAGCTGTCAGGCATGACCTCCCCTTGATGAAACCATGCTGACTTTGCCCTATTTACCATGCAAATCAAGTGTTCAGAAACTTCATCCTTCACAATGGACTTCAAAATCTTACCCACAAACCAAGGTTAGGCTAATCAGCCTGTAATTTTCTGTCTTTTGCCTTACTCCCTTTTTAAAAAGGGATGCCACATTAGTGATTTTCCAGTCCTCTGGGACTCTCCCTGACTCTAGTGATTCCTGAGAGATCACCACTAACGCTTCCAATATCTCTTCAGCTATCTCCTTTAGAACTCTGGGGTGTGGCCCATCAGGTCCAGGTGATTTATCCACCTTCAGGCCATTCAGTTTTTCTAGCACCTTCTCCTTGGTGATGGCCACCATACTCAGGTCTGCCCCCGTCTCTCTTGAATTTTTGGGCTATTACTTGTGTCGTCCACTGTACAGACTGATGTGGAGTAATTATTTAGTTCCTCAGCCATTTCCTTGTTCCCCACTACTATCTCTCCAGTATCATTTTCCAGCGGTCCAACTCCACTTTTGCCCTTTATATATTAAAAGAAACTCTTACAGTCTTCCTTTATATTACCGGCTAGCTTTTCTTTATATTTAATCTTCTCCCTCTTTATTTCGTTTTTTGTTGCCCTGTTGGTTTTGGTAAGTTTCCCAATCCTCTGGCTTCCCACTGCCCTTCACCGCATTATATGCTTTCTCTTTTGCTTTTATGCTGTCCCTGACTTCTCTTGTCAGCCATGGTTGTCTAGTCGTCCCTTTAGTATGTTTCTTTTTGCTCGGGATGAATTTTTGCTGTGTCCCCTGAATTACTCCCGGAAACTCCCCCAACTGCTGTTTCACTGACTTTCCTGCTAGGCTCCTCTCCCAGTCAAGTCTGCCCAGCTCTTCCCTCATGCCTCTGTAATTGCCTTTATTCAGCTGTAAATGTTGCTGGAGAGATAGTAATGGGGAACAAGGAAATGGCCGAGGAACTAAATAATTACTCCACATCAGTCTGTACAGTGGACGACACAAGTAATAGCCTAAAAATTGCCTTTATTCAGCTGTAATACCGTTACCTCTGATTCTATCTTATCCCTCTCAAACTTCAGAGTAAATTCAATCATATTATGATCACTGCCTCCTGAGGGTTCCTTCATCTTGAGCTCTTTTATCAAGTCTGCCTCATTGCACAACAGCCTCTCTGCTCCTATGATGCTGCTTGGCCTGCTGTGTTCATCCAGCCCTGCACCTTGTTGTCACTAAATCCAGTATTACCTGTTCCCTAGTGGGCTCCACCACAAGCTGTTCCAAAAAGCCATTTCGCAGACATTCCACAAATTCCTTTTCTTGCAATCCACTACCAACCTGATTTTCCCAGTCCACCTACATATTAAAATCCCCCATGATCACTGTAACTTTGCCTCTCTTACGCACCTTTTCTATCTCCTGGTGTATCTTGCGCCCCAGCTCCTGACTACTGTTTGGAGGCCTGTACATAACTCCAACTTGTGGTTTTTTTCACCTTTACAGTTCCTCAATTCTACCCGCATAGATTCTATACCATTTGACCCTACTTTGTTTCTTACTATTGATTTAATTTCATTTCTTACTATTAAGGCAACCCCACCACCTCAGTTCAACTGCCCATCTTTTCAAAAGGATGTACATCCTTAGATATTCAGCTCCCAATCCCGATTCCCTATTGTCCCTGAACATCAACACCCTGGGGGATTCCATTGTCCAGAAACTGAATTTATCTAGCCATACATATAGTGGCTAAAACAGCAGGTCAGAGAATATTAATCTATAGCAACTATCTTGACATTTCATCGATAAGGCACAAATCAGGATGGAATATGATGGAATACTCCTCACTTATTGGATGAGTACAACTCCAACATTAAAGAAATTTAACGCTTCCAGGACAAAGAAGCCCCACTTGTTCAACACAATATCCACCACCTTCAACATTCACCTCTTCCAACATT